AACTGCACAACTATCAATTTATGCAAGTAGATTTGCAGGTTTTAGTGCCAAAGGTTTTTGGCCGAGAGCTTTTGGGTAATAAAGATCTGTCATACAAGTTGACAGCCATAACCCGATAGCTTAGATGATAAGAGGTTTTTTGTTTAGGCTCCTGGAAGAGAAACTTTAACAACACTGTGACAACAGACGCCAAACCAAACTAATCTGATGACTTGCACCGAAGCTGAAAATCTGCCAAACTGAAACTTTATACAAAACCCTGCAATGTTTTGTGAATTTCCTCCTGATTAGGAAGATCACCTCCCTAACGATGAGGCTGATTGATATGTTGGCGTGCGCACACACACACACACACAACACACCACACACAACACACACACAGCACAACCACACCCACACACACACAAACACAAACACACGCTGTGTTATGAATGCCACAGACATGCAGGCTGGGTGCTGCTGGCTATGTACGACTGATTCCTCTAAATGGCATCACATGCATGTGGACGAAATCAGTTGAGCATTTGCTCAGGGGGCTGCAGATGGTTTGTACTAACAAACAAGAGCTATCATCCTGCACTGCAGTCGGCACATGACTTACTGTCTTTTTCCATAAACTTTGTCCTCTATACATAAAGATATATATAAATAATGTGCTGTTGGGAATCGCTTGCATTGCTGGTGTATGAAATTTCATTATGAGCATTATTTTAAAGAAAATATGGATTAAGTAGCTCCTATGCAGCGTTGTCTTAAAGAAAACATTATTTTAGTGCAATAAATTTGCAGGGGTTGTCTTGGTGGGAAAAGTGGAGAATTTCTCATATTTAATAGGAAAAAAATAGTTTTTCTAAATCATGGAATTCAGTGGAATGGCCATTAACTTCCTTGTTTAATATGTGACTTTCCATATGTTGCCAGGCTCAGTTAAATACTGATACTGAACTTATTTTTTGTGTTTGTTACAATATCAGGTTTTTCTGTATTGCCTAGCCCTATTCTCATCCGCAGTGCAGTGGATATGCCAAGTACAGACTGGCATAGAGGTCTGATATCCCTCCCACCACCAACACCCCCCCCCGCCTGGAAGTTGGTGCAAATCACTCAGCACTTTATGCTCCACCCCCTCCACACCGCCCCGCGCACGCACATACATACACATACATACACACAGACAGACACACACACACCATCCCCAGCTGTCACTGCCAGGCCTGACTCAGGGAAACAGAGCTCCACACACACACCGTTTCACAATACTGAATGCTTCCACTTCTAAACAGATTCTAAACACAGGTCATTGTATAGAGACATCACGCTGTAACGATAGCACGTTTGGTAGTGCCTGCTGCTCACGTACTGTGAACTTATTAAAGAATGTGGTTAGACAACAAAAGCATTCAAATGACACCAATCATTTCACATTAATCTGGGCTATAATTCTTGCACACCATCTAAAATTACAAAACTCACAAAGATGTAACATAAACGTTTATACAAACTTAAGTGCATCTTTACGAGTGTAAAGAGCGCCAAAGCAAACTGGGACAGTCCCAAAACAGTGTCACTGCTTGATAACAGCAGGCTTGTCTCTTAACGATAGCTAATCATGACCCTGTGGAAACCCAAATTACTGTTATTGCTCTAGGTTGACTTATGTGACACATTACAGACAAGGTTAGACTAAACCCCGGTGGTTGAATGCGTGCTTGATACTCTGCCGTCTCCACACAACTGTTATCAAGTCTGATGATTAATAAGTCCTTTGCACACCACAGTGCTCTTAAGTAATCCCATATTTCTGTTGAAGTCATCCCTTCCTTGACCCCTGCGATAAGCTGCGGACAAAACCAAAACACAACAGAGGGGAAGACCTGAGCGTCTGCTGGCGCTGGTATCCATTTACTGCCATCCGCATTCTGTCAGCATTTCCCACCAAACGCCAAGCAGTAACAGGAGAACTGTTCAGGAATGTACAAACACTTGAGCTCATTATTGGGACCTCTGAGCTTTTTCACAAGAACAGAAAAAAATTGCCTGACTGGTGTTGGAGACCCCACAGTGGGAAATTGACAGATGTGGTAATGCTTAAGAAAATAAAACTCATTTGGTTAATGCTTGTGAGGCAACCCCACTGACATAAGAGAAGCAATTTTTCACAAAGCTTATTTTGACTGCTTTTATGTCAAAAGTCATTTGCCTACATGACAGGAAGGTCAAGTAAATTCCTGGAGGACAGTATAAAGCCACACGACGGCCTCTAAAATAACAGCTCGTCAGTTCCCATATAACATGTCTGCATCACGAGTCGGCCTGCAGGAGAGACAAGCAGGCAGAGCAGACTGGGACGATTACATCTGCCAAGGAAGACTTCAACTTGACCTAGAGGTTTTCACTCATTGTACTGGACATTCAGAATGAAAACAGGATTGATTAAAAAACATTTCTAGACGGAGAATTTTGTGAAAAAGGTGATGAGTCTGCAGCTATGATGATGTTAAAAAGAACAACCATTAGTAGCTAGAGTGGATGTTGTGGGAAAACAAACAATATACATCGACAGTGAACCTTTTATGGCTACGCTGCATGATCATTTTTTAACCCTGCAGGGCTGAAAAAAGTCCAGTATTGCATCACCTTGTGTACACACAAGCGCGCACACCCACACACACACACACAGAGAAAACCTGTATAGCTGTCACTCCTCTGTTTATCCGGCTCTTAACGGCCCGTCTAGTTTTACGCTTGTATGGGAGTGATCCTAAGTAGGCTCTAATCCATGTTTGAGGGGTAAAGAGGCATTTAGAGAGCAGCTAATGTTTAACGCACTAAGACGTGTTCAGATTCACTTCCTGGAGCGCTCATTGGGAACAATGTTGTCACTGTCTGGGCAGCTGTGTTACTTAGCAAGGAGAAAGCGCACACACACACACACACACGCACACACACACCATTACAGGGATGTG